AATTATCATCGTCACAGCCATTTTTCAACTAATTGGGGTCAGCTACATGAATCTTAGCCCGCCATTCTGCTCTATTAAGGGCCATACCCTTAGTGAGGTTATAAGTTCCCATATCTTTTCTCATTACTTCCAACCTTGTCCGTTTGAGCATACCCCTTGCCCTTTTTACGCCTTTCACTTGAACTAACTCGCACCTCCTAACAGGTGTTGTACTGGGCCTGCACCACACATGGCCAGCCACCTAAGTCTCTCATCTTATTGCCTATTAGTGCCACACTTAAATCTTCCTAAATGTATTCATTTCAAATTCTATCCCTTCTCGTCTTGCCACTCATGCATCTGTACAAACCTCATGTCCACTACATCCATTCTATGGGTATATTATTTTTTTACCATCTAACATTCCTCCCCATAGAGGAAAACTGGTCTCACAGCTGTCCTATAGAACTTTCCTTTCAACTTCATTGGTATGCGGTGATCACATAAAATTTTAGATGCACATCTCCACTTCGCACATGTAGCTCTAATTCTATGTGCGATATCTTCCTCAATCTCTTCATTTTTTTAGATTATCGCCCTAAATTATCGAAAGTACGCTCTTTTTAGTATTTCCTGGCCGTCAATCTTAACTACTTCCATGTCTCTATTCTTATTATTACTATACTTACATTCCATATACTGTCTTTGTATGGCTAATTTTAAAACCTTTAGATTCTTGAGCATCCCTTTAAAGTTCTAACTTTATGTTGACGCCGCTTTAAGTCTCATCTATCAAAACTATGTCATTTGCGAAGAACATGCACCACGGTACCTCATCTTGTAGGTGCCTAGTTAAGTCGCCCATATGCTGATCTTTGATGTAGACCTATTGTCATTGAAAACTCACTCGTCTCTCCACTAGTTGTTCTTACACTAGTTAGCGCTCCATCGTACATATCTCTCACCAAGTCGATGTTGTGTCTGGATATTCCTTTGTTTTCCAACACCCACTAAGTTAAATCTCAAGATATTCTATTATAAGCTTTCTTTAGATCAATAAAGACTATGTGGAGGTCTTTTCATTTGCCCTAAACTTTTCAATCAGTTGCCTACATAGAAAAATAGCTTAGGTTGTTGACCTCCCTGGCATAAAACCGAGTTGGTTTTTCGATTTCTTGCCTTAAGTCTTTGTTCAATAACTCTCTCTCAGAGCTTCATAGTGTGGCTCAATAAGTTTGATCCCTTGATAGTTCGCACAATTCTATATGTCTCATTTGTTCGTGTAAATAGGTACAATAGTACTTTTCCTCCATTTGTCTGACATTTTTTTGTTCTCAACACCTTGTTGAACAACTTGGTCAACCAGTCAATGCTAATCTCCCCCTTGTACTTCGAAACCTCTATCGAGATACAATGCGGTCTTAAAGCCTTTCCTATATTCATCATTTTCCAAGATTCTTTCACTTCCGATAACCTAATCCTACAAATGTATCTATGACCTTTGTCTTCATTTATGCCAATGGTTCTTTCTACCGTCATGTTCTCATTGTGTTCGTCATTAAATAATTTTTGAAAATAAATTCTCGACCATTCGTTGACCTCTTCATCCGTCACCAAGACCATTTATCCTCACTTCTAATGCATTTTATATGGTTTAGATCCCCACACTGTTTCTCTCTCATTTTTGCTAATTTGAAGACATCTTTCACCATTTCTTCTTCCCAATTTACTGTGTAGATTATCATATGCCTTAAATTTAGTCTTATTTACTATTTGTTTAGTGTTTTTCTTAGAATTTAAATTTTTCTAAGTTTTGATCATTTCTATTATCCTTCCAAGTTTTATAACATGATTGTTTTTCACTAATGGCCTTCCGAACCTCATCGCTCCACCCCAAGTTTCTTTATCGGAATTTCTTTTGCCTCTAAATTCTCTTAAAACGTCTTTTGCCACTTTCTTAATATAGTCAGCCATCTAATTCAACAAAATATTGACCTCATGTTCAGAGTTCCATTTTTTTTTTTTAAATAATTTATCCCTAAATAAGTCCATTTTCTTATTTTTAAAATTCCAAAAACAATTAACTTGTTGAAGTCTTCCTTTTAGAGTAAATTCCACTTACAAAATAATTGAAGTGCGCTAGAGGCATAAATAAAATTGAAAATGAGTGCACATAACTATTAAAACATTATAGATGCATGTAATTTTTATCTTTATCTATGAGTAAAAATCTATCCTGCATAAATTGAATATTATGCATTTTCTTTTGATAGATTGCAAAAAAATGTAATAATAACTAAAAGAGTAATAATCCTATAGGACCCTCCCCCACCCTTGTGTGTAGGACCCCAAAAGATCACCATTAAAGTTGGCACGGATCTCTAGAAAAGTTATCACATAGGTGTGAGACTTGACTTTTCTAGAGATCCGTACCAACTTTAATGGTGATCATTTGGGGTTCTACACACATGGGTGGGGGAGGCTCTATAGGATCATTTCTCTAACTAAAATAATACTAGATCAACCAAAATTATTCATTATTAAGGTAAATTTATGAAGGAATTATCTACAAAGATCTTTTATACATGGAGGTCACAATCATTCCCACTCATTATATGTCAAATTGGATGGCTTCGGGTGAGTCATGAAGTCCGAGAATTTTTCTTTTGAAACTTTATGTCTATTCAATGTTAATCTTACAACCACCCATTTTGAAATTTAAGGGACAAGAATGATTGTGACCTCCACATACAAAGATAAATGGTCTCTTTGTAGACAATCCCATTTATGAATTTAAAGTGAAAGAAAAGAGAAAAGGCATTTACCTGGAATTTCGAGCAAAACTCTTGATTCCCATATATTCATGCTCAAATCAAATTTACACCTCTAAATCCCCTCAAAGCTTCCTAAGCCAACTACAATGAAGCCACTAAACTAGTTTTGACCTTCTACTTTGTATTGGGAGATCTGAGCACTTGAATATTTTGGATGAAAAGAAATTCCAAATTTTCAATCTCTCAAATCTTGAACTTTTTTTTCTTGGGGTGTTTTTTGTGAAAAACATGCAATATGGGTGGATTACCATTCCAAAGGTAGGCTTAGATATCAAATTCCATCAAATTGAACCATCCATTGTAAACAAATCACAATTTTTAATTTCAAATGGCCAAAATTTATAATCTCTCAAATTCTTTGGATTTGAGGTTTTTTCTCAAATCCAATGTTCCGAATTCAAATTTTTGCCTCAGTAACATGGGCAAGTCTGAATGCTCCTCATTACCTTGAATGCTTACTTATGTTCCATAATTTTGTAAAAAGGACCATGGTTTGAGGTTGACGGACAAGTAATTGTTCTTGTGGCAAAAAGTTAAAAGAGCTGAATATTTTTATATGCTTAGAGACTACCACTACCAACGTGATACTTTTAGGATAGTGGCACTCTTAAGGTACTTATAAAAGTCAAATGATATAATGTAAAAGTGTAATGCGACTAAAATATAATGTAGTGTATAACATAATGTAATGTATAATAACATTATAATATATTATGTTGTGTCTAAAGCAAAAATGTAGTGTTATTGATAATACCAAAATATAATTGATTTTTTATTTACATGTCCATGTCCTATATAACATGATAAATATGAGATATTTGGATAAAAATAAAAGATGTAAAGACACAAAATGTATCCTTATAAAACATAGGATAGACTAATTTTATGTAATGTATGCCATAGTTACTCGAATCTCTCACCAAAGGTTGCGATTCCGATTCTAAACCCAGATTTAGAAATTTCAACTAGGAATCTTCTCGGAATCCGTTTCTATGAAGTCTAGAATCTTGATTCCAATACTTATAGAATCTCACTTCCAATATTTGTTAGTTTTTTAATTCCACAATTGGTGAATCTCGATTCTACACTAGTTGAAATTGATTTCCACATTTACCGAAATTCTACCACTTCCCCCTTTTTTTTTTTTTTGCTTTTTTTCCCTTAGAAGTAATGTTAAGTTTTCAAGGCATCAAACTACTCAAGCTACGTTCAATCCCAAGCTACACAAGCTAGACACTCAATCCCAAGCTACAAGGGGTGATCATCTTTTTTGGCATGAAATTACCAGAAGAAACCAAAGTGGAGATCCACATTCTCTACTTAATTCTTTAAGTATGCATTGTATTCATCTAATGGAGAGATTGCAACTCCAAGATGTTAAAAATAATGTAGTACAAATAATGTAAACATGCATGTATGGCATGTCGGTCAATGAATGGCATTGAGAATGTATTGTTTCCTCCTTAGTTTCCTCTCGATTCCTAAAATATCGGAATCTCGATTCCATATATGAAGGAATCTCGATTCCATATTGGTCAAACTCAATTCCAACTAGGTTGGAACAAGATTCCAAAGAGCAAGGAATATCGATTCCATCTATGTAGGGATCTCGATTCTATGATGGTTGAATCTTGATTCCTAAAAATCGGAATCTCGTCCTCCACGATTCCTCTTGTATAGACGTCGATCCCAAAATAGGAATTTTCCAGCCAACAGTGATTCCTCGCTTCCAATTCCTACATTGATTCAGTTTCCGAATCGCTTTTGGAAACTATACTGTATTTTTATGTATTAGTTGTGTACTGCACTATTTATTATGAAAACCAAATATGTTCACATGCACCCACAGACACATGGATGATAGTTGTATATATCCTTCATGTTAGATATTATGATAAATGCTGTTGCTATTTGGATGTCTTAGACTAAAAATTTGAAATTACTCCTTTCATGGAACTGAAATTTCTTAGATGAGAATCCTACCAAACATATTCTAGTTTGTATCGAAATGCAAGTTCATTTGGTTTTCTTGGAAACATAGATGGCATTACTAAAAAACAATCTAGGTGCTATATTTGCAGCAGAGATTAGTGACTATTGTGGTTGATATAACTGTTAGGTGCATGAATTAATGTGATTAGAGCTCCTAATGGTCCTTGAGTAACAACATTCTCCTTTGTTTTGCAGAAGGGGACATATGATGCTGAGAAGAAGATGGTACAGCTTCAAAGCGAACTTATAGGGAATGCCACAAAGGTAATCCCTGCCATGAACTTGGGAGTACCCGTTTCTAATTACTTATATGCTATAGAACAACTATCTTGATTGTCAAACAAGTAAGATCGCAATTCTTTATGTGTCAATATTTCCTTTTTGGAGCTAACTATATTTGATGGGACATACTTTCCCTCCATCATCCAATCCATTGGTTGAGCAGATGACCCTTATGACTATAGAGTTTTGATTAAGTTTCGGCGAAGTTGCTCAAAGATGGAAGTCGCCCTTGGCCAGTATGATCTACTTGGGCAAGTCCGAGTCAACTCACCTAAGTTTGCCTCAAGTCATCCAAGATGCCCAAAAAAGTACTTTAATTTTTGTAAATTATGAACTTTAATAAAATATAAGAAAAAAAAAACATAAGAAATAATAAAAATATATATAACAGAAAATTGATATTGAATTTAAATTAGATCTATCAAGAATAAATCAATCACAAGAATTTAAACTGAACGAATTGAAATTTAGCCAACATTTTCAGGGCTGAACCTCTAATCTCTGTGCACTGAGTGAATCGATGCCTCCAGTCTTTATCAAACCATCCTCAAACTCTTCCCAAGACCAGATTTAGGGTCCGAGTTTGGATTTAATCTATCGGAGCTTGTGAAAATTGGGGGTGACTGTAGAATATAGAATTAAAATTTTGCAAATCTGAGTTTTTTTTTTTTTTTTGAGCTACATGCCTATGATTGGATAAAAAAGGAAAAAAACCCAAAAGCAGGCTTTTCGTCGGGAATCGATCAATAATTGTGAAGAAATCACAAATTGTATAAATTAATCAAAACCTTCGTTGAAATCTTTGATCTCTTTTATTCTATTACGTATGATGATTGTTATAAAATTTGATATATCTAGTGGATAGAGATCATACTAATCGAGTGAATAGGCAAAACGTTTGGGCTGAAATGGCTGTCGATCATAAAAAATGAAAAAGAAGGGGATGGATATCCCTCACTAATGTTTCGATTTCAGTATTGAACTTGGGCAAATATTGATGATTTGTCGAGTACTCAAAAACTCACCTGACTCTGACGGTGCTTGGGTGAGTTGTTATAATAAATTGGCCACATTGCTGTAGAATTCTATATATCCCCGAGTTGGAGGATTATGGGCCCAAGCGACTTGGCCAAGTCTGCTCTTGCAAATACTGGGTGTGATGATAATATGGATTATACAATCCTTTCTTTTGATTTGTTTGTGTTCGTGTGGTCCCATTATCCGAATGGACTGAAATAATTTTGTGCGGTCCCATGTCTTTCAATTCCTCTTTGAACTACAATACTATTAAACGTTGTGAAATTATGCTGTGATCGCTCTTCCTTAAACTACTCAAATTTTGTTTAACTTCGTGAATTTAGTAATCATGAAAGCTTAGCTAATTTCAGATATGACTTACCTCTTGGAAGCTGCTTTTTCAAGTCTGATTCTTGGACATATCATGGATTATGTCTATCTTTCAAGTAGGTGTAATGTGCATCTAAACATTAAAAACATAAAATGCATATCTAGGTTATCCACTGTCACTGGAATGTTTTTTTTTTTTGAAACTGGTAACTGTTATTACTGGAATGTCTTTGGCAGGAGTTTCTCAAAAAACCGATTCATATCTCAGGCATATAAATCCTAGCAACTTTCAATTCCCTTTTATGCAAACCTAGTAGATGATCTTTTGGAAGGAACAGTGATCCCAATGCCATTACCATTGTGATTTTTGTGAAAATTGAAAAACCTCTGATGATTCAATCCATAGATTTTCAAGAGATTGGACTGTCAATTTTCTAGATTTTCAAAATTTTTCATTTTTCACCATCAATACCTGGTTGGCCTAACCGATTGTATATGAGAATACTGGTTGAGCAGGGGTTGGGTGCTTCCCGTTGTCCCAGATCTCCCCAGACCCATGCAGTTCTTTTTTTTTGCTCCAATCAAGTTGGACATGCGTAGTCCTCCTAATGTTCATTAATAGCTATAAATACTGCGGAGTAGTGGACCTTTTCAAGATTTTAGTGAAGATAAGGCATCTCTAGTTTGCGCTTGCGTTGGGGCTGTGAATCTTTCCTTCTTGCCAGAGGCTTCTGGTAGATTTTTATGGCAAAGCGCTTGTGTTGCTTTGAATCATTCTTTTGATTTTGTGAAAATAAATTCGATTGCAATTTGAAATGTTTATTTTGTTGCCTACTCAAGCTGTTCTTCTGGGCTTCTACTCGATCATCCTTTGTCGTGTGTACTTCATGTATATTCTTCTACTTTGGCATATTGCTACTCTAAGGTGGACCCCCTTGTTAAAATGTGATTTGTAAGTTTTTTAAAATAATCAGCAAAGATGCATATTAAAAAAAAAAAAATGACGAAGAAAGATAGACTTGTTTTCTTTTTTTTTGAACGGAAGAAAGATGACTTGTTTGTAAGCATATTAATACAAAAAGAGCAAACGACATGTGGAAATTGGAAGTGATGAATGTTGCTTTCTAACAGATTTTACCATTTGCAGGTGAGAGAAATAACCCGAACTTTTGAGTTTATCAGTGGAGAACTAGTTTACTTTGTTCAGATGGCTACAAATTCAACAACTCTACAGCCGCATTTGAGAGGACTGCTTAAGAAGATATGATTGTTCATCTTTGTCAACAGAGGACCCGTTTTCGACCTTTTCCTAACCTCTTTGGAGCATTTATGCTCCCCATGTACTCCCCTCCCCCCTAAATCACAATTTGAAGAAGATGATTGAGAGTTGGCGCCTTATCTATTCTTCGTTTAGGCTTGGTTTGATAATTTTTTTACTATTTCACAGAGAATTCTTGAGAATACTTGGGGTTCTAGAAACATCTGAAAGTTAGTGCAATCACTTTCTCCGTTTTGATAATTTCCATGGGAAAGCGAAGCAGTTTTCCCTAAAACTTGTCTGAAAAATTGGTGTAGTAAGTTTCATATGGAGAACTGTTTTTTTCAATAGTGCGATATTAAAAGTTTATTGTAAATTTGTAAATTACAATTTATTGGAAATCGATCTCAAAAGTATGTGTAAACTTTGTTGGTTTTCATATAGCTTGATAAATTTATCAAAATTTCTACAAAAATGATCAGTCCATTTTGAATTGAACCAAAAAATTATTGAATCCTATAAATATTCATCAATTTATGTGTTATTTAAAAATTTTAAAAAGGGAAAAGTTTATATAGAGCTCTAAACAATCAAATTAGAGCCCACATCAAAAATTTCACTAGAAGAAGTTATTTTGATGTCCAAATATCTTCAAATTGATCATCTTGATCTCAAGATTCATGAACATGAGAAAAAAATGAATTTCAAGTTTTGGAAATGGTTGTATCCGGTCTAGTTGACTTTGGTAGCCCAATTATGAATCCTTGTTGTGGTATGTGGGTCATGGTAATTGTTGGGCCAATTTAAGAAAACAAGTGTGAATTATAGTCCACATTAGAAGATAGAGTGCTTCAACAACGTTATAAAATCTTAGACTTAGATGTATTCGATTATCACCAAAATTATTTGGTTTTAATTATTTTGATGTTTAATAATTTTTAGATTGATTATTTGAAGTTTTATGAGTTTTTGGATATTTTATTTTTACAAAACAAATTTATAAAATAAGAAATATTCAATTTTAGTATTTAAATATTCAAAGGAATATAAAATTTAAGTATATCTTCCAAAATCTAAAAATGAATTTTATTATTTTTAAAATTCATAGGAGATTTGAGAGCCCATTAGGTACCTCAATGGGAAGTGCGTCTGGGCCCCACTAGGGCCTCTAGATGGCACACACTACTTATTTTGGATTATGTATTAATTGAGATCATGTCTTGTTGACTAAGATAATCTTGTTGACTTAGTCAATTAAAAACAAGGTATGCTTTATGGAATCTTAAGGAGTTTAGACTCTTAAAAGGAATATAAATAAATAAAGAGATTTAAACAAAAAGAGATATTATCTCATATTTTCCATAACTTTAGTACTTGATGGAATAAAGCTCGGGAAGTTAAAGGATAACGTTTTGTATCATCATTTGGATCATGATGATTGATCTAAGGTTTGAATGACTCAAATCTCTTACCCCACAGGTCTTCTATGATCAATGGTATAGATAAATATATAAGGATGACTATTCCCAATGAAATTTTGATTATTTGAGAAGTCTATATGTAAAGCACCCTGCATCTCTCATTCTCTGCACAAAATACCTCCCTTCTTTTCTCTTTGATCTATGTTGAAGGTGGTACACTACCCTTGGTTCTTCTTCTCTCTCTCTGTTAAGGTCTCATCTCTCCTTTAAGAGATAAGGGGCACGCCCCATAAGAGATCGAAAGAGGGGGCATGCCCCACTTAGTTCAAGAAGGTGGCACGCCCCACTCAAATTGTTCTAAGGCATTGAGGCCTTGACCATATTTGTAGCATGCTCTCACATTTGGGGGATAACTTGAGCTTTCTCATACTTGGGAGATTCGAGATAGACCATTTGATCTGGTGCGCCAATGGAGGAGGAGGCCCGGTGTGGGGTGTTCTAAGTTCCGTTGAGGTAATTATGTTTTGCAGTCTATTTATTTCTTGTCATTTCTTATTCCAATAAAAGAAAGTTGTAATTAGTGGAAGTAAGTGAGAAGCACTTTTAGTTATTTTTTTATTATTTTGAGTCGATTTTATTGTAATTGGATCATTGTAAATGTTCTAATCAGTGTGAGAAATAAAAATAAAAAAACTATATACACCGTGCTAGATCACCTTGTCCACCTTTCAATGGTATTTGAGCGAGAGTTTCTTGCTGCCCATAGGAATTTTTATTTTCTTTTAGAATTGTATCATCTTGGGAAAATTAATATTGCTACACTCACTTTTATCTCTAAGATCCCGAAGACCGAAAGGTTCGATGGAACAAACTACTCCTCATGGAAGCGCAAAATAGGCTATGGGCTTTATGATGAGGGTTTGAATAAGATATTGTCTCAGCATCATCCTCGCTATCCTAGAAACAACTTATCACAAGCTACAAAAGGCACATACGCTTCATGGAAGCATAAAGACATGCGTGCTAGGCATATACTACTTTGCTCTATGACTGACTCATATACATCCAAGTATGAACCAAGTAAAACGATAAAAAGGTATGCATGAGAGGCTTGAGAAAGAATATGCAGATCCTACCCTTATGAGGCAATCTATAACGAAGTAAAGATGGTCAAAGGCACAAAGATAGCCGAATATGTGCATACTTTTTGTGCACTTCTTCGATAGATGGAGGCTACCTGCATGCGACCCTTGGAACCAATGAAAATGGTTCACATGATGAAATATCTCCCTAATTCATGGGAGGCTTTCGTCACATCCCTCTCTGCTCGACAAACGGCTCAAAGCTAGAGGAGCTCGTTACTTTGCTCAAAGGAGCAACACGCACACTGGGTCTAAAAGAAACTATACATATGGTAAAATCCCCACCCTTCTTTAAGCCTAATAAGGGAAAGGGAAAGAATACAAATAACGAGAGAGACAATAGGAAAAGGAAAGAGACGATGACTTGTCACGTATGCAAGAAAGTTAACTACATAACTAAAAATTGTTGGTTCAACAAAAATCCTGGGGCCAACAAGGAAATTGCATGTGTGGTCTTTACTAATCGAACCCAAAGGAACATCTTGGTATCTTGAGTTGGAAGCTACGACTCACGTAACAAACAACAAAGATGGCTTCTGTGCTTTTACTCCTGTGGGTCCAGGTGAGCAACACATATTTATGGGAGGAAAGCAAAAGACCGAGGTCTTAGGGGTTGGTGATTATGGGCTTGAAATGACGAATGAAAAAGTCTTGATCCTTAAACAAGCACTTTATGCTCTTGAAATGAGGAAGTGCTTGGTTTCTAGTATTAAGATGGCTAAGGCCGGTCTTGTCACCACCTTCTATGAAGACAAGATGTTAAAGTCCGAGACTTTTTCGATCGTTGATTCTGTTTACATTTTGAATAGTTTCCTATTAATGCTTATTTCAGTTTTCTTTTTGATTTGTTGTATAACCTCTTTCTAGTGTTTTGAGTGGTACCATGTTATTGTAGGCATCGCTAGATTTTCGACGTTATAAAAATCGCTTAAATTTGAGCAACCGTTGTTGAAGGGTATTTTTCGACACTGGGTATCCCCGGTACGCATAAGGAGAGAGCAGTTTGTGACCTAGGTCTACGGGAACCAAAATGCTTATGGACCACATAAGCAGTAGTATAATAAGCCCTAATTTAGAGCTAAATTTTTTACAGTCCTGAAATGGCCTAAAAATGATTTAAAATATGGCTGAGGGTGGGTCTCTTAAGAACAGCTGCCAAGTTTCGTCGCAATCCGATGAAGTTAAGGCAAATCAGACGCCAAACTAGTTTTCAAAATCCTTCCTCTGGCATGCTAAAAGAAGACCTTGCAACTACAGCCCTATCGTCGAAGCTTCAAACGATCAGCATACCACTTTCATTGGATTTAGAAAGTTCAAAAATCCCCGGGTACCAAGTTTCGGCTTATTCGAAAGTTTCTAGACCAATCTGCGGCCAACTTACCAAAAATAGGTAGGCCGCATGCAATCCTGGTGCACCCTCAGCGAACCAGCTTCCACCTATGGAACCTATATTTTCCAATTTTGAGCTGGACTTCCCATGGCCGTATCTCCTTTATCCCGAGTCAGAATGAGCTCAAACTTTTGAGAGGATGTTTGTCTCATCGGCCCGATCGTTTTGATATATGGCATGCCCCATAGCATAGCCTGAGCCGAGAGAAATCAAAGAGAGAAGATCGCCTTGGAAAAGCAAAAGTTGCAGGATTTTTGAAGAAGCTCCCTTTGATCAAACAGTCGTATCACAATGCTTGCATACCTGATCGGCCTGAAAATGGATGCATCGCGACCACAAGGTTGAGGACTTCATTCGTGCCAAACCTCGCGTGTGATAAATGATCAGATTCACTGTATTTCAGGGACTAAGAAGAGGCAATTTCCAGCCACCAAAATTCCAATTTCGGACAAAATTCCCCAATTCAGAAAGTGGTCATTGAGGCACCAAATCAAGCCATTCTTGTTACAAAATGATCATGGCGACTTGCTATTCAATCTACAACAAAGAAATCGAGGAAAACAATCAAGAAATAGGTGAGATCTTGAATCTAAAATTGTAAGATTCTCACAAATCTTGCTGCCTCACGTTAGCGGCCTAAAACCTTGATTCATGACTCGAAACCTATACCAAAATGACCACCTCACCGAGCTCTACAAGTTTTTGATATTATTTTGACCAGACAACGGTCGAAAGAACCCCAAGATAGCCACAGGAATTTCATGTGAGTTCATGGCCGTGGCAGGGATTGATTTGGAATTACTCAGCTTGTTGTGGGCACAGGGAAAAATCGTCATTTTACCCCAATTTTTAGCATTTATTTAATTAAAAAATGTCTATTTTTCAGCAATTAGGTTAGTTTTTGGGCATCCACCCATGTTTCCCATGGTTGCCTATAAATATCCAACATGTAATAACCTAAGGAACCTTTTTTGGATGACTTTTGATCCCAAGGTCTTTCGATAATATTTCGATTCACCCTTTACTTTTACATAAAAGCTTCCTTTGAGACTTCTT